TATGTATTTGAGACAGTGCTTTTATTGTCTGTTTTCCTCACAGCCGGTTGCTGAACCAATTCCAATCTGCAGTTTCTGCCTTGGTACAAAAGAGCAAAATCGGGAGAAGAAACCTGAAGAGCTCATCTCTTGTGCTGACTGTGGCAACAGTGGTAGGTGACCATTTACAGTGCTGCTGGTAATAGCCCGTCCAGTTGAGACAGAAGAGTATGACATAGTGACTGCTGCTGATCCATACACATGAGGATTATGCATCTGTGGCGTATCATACAGTTAGTGTAGCTGAATCTCATGCTCCCAGACAGGAGACAAAGTTAAGTTAACCTAACACAAGCAGTTCATTTGGCTCCTAGAGGTTTCTTTAAAAATGTGGTAATGATGACCAGTTTTATTATGTTTCTCAATTCAGCTGTGAAAAATTATCTTCGTGTTCTTTTGTATGGGGACCTGCCACTTGCTATCTAGGGTACTGTTTTTGTGTTATAAGTAAATAAGAATAGAAGCCCCTAAAAATAGGAGTATCTGGATAACCAAATTTCTGCATGGGAATAAGTAATTGATAAAGTAATCTCTGTGAGCTATCTGTGAGCATTAACAGCACTGGAATGGTTTTACTGGAATAATTTTCTCCTTTTTCTGTAGGTCATCCGTCCTGTTTGAAGTTCTCTCCAGAGTTGACAGTTCGAGTGAAAGCCTTGCGATGGCAGTGTATTGAGTGTAAAACATGCAGTTCCTGTCGAGATCAGGGCAAAAATGCTGTGAGTACAGTGGAATACAGACTGAATGAAGAGGGTATCAGTCTTGTGGATGTTCTGTTAAATTACAAAATAAAATCATTCTAGAGTCAAATATTTGCAGCTTTTTTTGAGTCTAGTAGTCTTTCTGAAACCAGTGAAGTACCATGACATGTCTGTAGTTGAAAACTATGTGCGTGTTCTCTGAGATGGTGACAGATTAATGGAGGGCTTGATGCTGATGCACATCTAAAGAGAGATTAACTTTATCTGTCTTCAACAGGATAACATGCTGTTTTGTGACTCATGTGACCGTGGCTTTCACATGGAGTGCTGTGACCCCCCTCTTACCAGGATGCCAAAAGGTGAGGACTGTGATGAAAAGGGTAATTTAAGATGGTGTTGGAAGACATCAGTGGGTAGAAAGTACTTCCACATATTTGGTCCTCTTTCAGATACATTTAACTTGTTCTTTACAGCACTGCTTTTCAGGTATTAGAAACTAGAGAAGGGTCAGAGCTTCAGATCCAGATTTTCCGCTATCTCCTGCTTCCTGTATATAACTGGCTCTGAAGGGTTTTGATCCTTACAGATCAAAAGGATCAGCTTCCATTTGAATGAATACCCTTGTAAAAAAGACGGGCTTCTTAGTTTTTGAACTCATATCCATGTGGTCAGTAGAGAATCCCGGAGTACAACCAAACTTCTCTTTTCCATCAGAAAGCGGGTTATATATGTAAGATTCTTCGTTGGTAGTTAGAAGAAAATTTTCCTATAGAAGATAGTTGAAAGTAGTGTAGTTGTAAGCAGAATATGGGATATTTAAATGTGTTATTTTTTTATGGTTTTCTGATAATGTGCTGCAAATTAAAGAGACTTCCTGCATGGTTGTGGGAAGTGTGTTTGGGGCGCGCGACATGAGGAAGGTGTGGGAAATCAACTGGGTTTGAGTTTAGATTGCTGGAATATATATGTAATTTTTCTTACATGTATATGTGATAATTGGGTCCTTTTGGTATTGTTCCTACCACTTCTGTCGGAAGGCCTGGGGCCTATAATTCTCCTTTTTGTCCTATATACATATCCCTTGCATTCAGTGACAGGGACTTGTATCTTATAGGTATGTGGATATGTCAAATATGTCGACCACGAAAGAAAGGAAGAAAACTTTTACACAAGAAGGCAGCACAGATAAAACGACGCTATGCTAACCCAATAGGACGTCCCAAAAACAGGTTAAAGAATCAAAATACAACGTAAGTCTCCCTATAAGGAGGAGTAAGGTGTGAGATTCTATAGGACAGTGGGTATTTCTGAAGTGTCTGGACTACTCTGTGAGAAGATTTCTTTTACAATGAAGAGCTTTCTGTTATTCTTTAGTACAGAATTTCTGAAGAATGCTTTGAAAGACTAGAAGTAATCTCAGTGCTTCTTTTTGCCTAGATTTTTGACCCTTTTTAACAACTTACTATTTAGTTTTGAACTGTTCCTTATAGTCATAGATGAATTTTGCTGTTCATGTCAAGTCTATTTTGCTGGATGGCTGTTTCTTCCAGCATAATTGTTTTGCTTTGCATTTCTCAAGAACCATTTCTGATGTTTAGAAACTAAGTAATCTACAACAAAGTGTGTGAGGTTGTTGTTTGACATATATTTAATCTGATGCTGCTGACAGAAAATATTTGGCCTGTTTCTGCTTCCATTCCATGTGTTTCTGCATTGGTGGAGCAGTCTGTTGTGCTGAGACAGGTTGTGTGGCCTTGTCATGGTGGTTGTGGGGCAGCCAGTCATCAGGGAATTGGATTTGGGTAGGCAGGAATTGTTTGGATAACTGTTCAGCCAGAGCAATTTCCTTGAATTAAGACTGCTGTGCAGTGCTTATTGTGATGCAGCCCTATTGACTGTGTAGGGACCGAAACAATGAAGGAGCATGCCATAAGAACTTCTGTTTTGGGCATCAGGTCAGCTAAAAAAAAAAAAAAAAAAAAAAAGATTGAACTACCCCTTGATCTAACAATAACACCAAAAGTATGTTCTGGAAAAAAAAAAGATTGAACTACCCCTTGATCTAACAATAATACCAAAAGTATGTTCTGGAAAAAACCTTACAAAGTTTAATGCTTATAAAAATTTAGGAGTGTCTTTTAAACATCCTAATTTTTTTCAGTCTGCATGATACCTTTGCTCAGAGGAACTCCCCGAGTAATTCAGAGGGGCAAAAGGAACAAAAGGAAAGCTAGCAATCTGCTGTTGCTGTTTTGTCTCTTGATTTTTATTTCATGATGTATTCACAATTTTTTTGCCTTTGTTCCATCATTTCACTTGCAAAATATATCCACAGAATTATGCACAGATGCTTAGTTTGGTTTTTTTTAGGAAAAAACAGCCTATTACCATCCTCTGTAGCTGCAAAGATTGTAGCTAAAAACAGTGAGCTTCCTGAAAGAGCTGTCAGCCTAGGGCCATCCCTCTGAGAAGTGTTAAATACTCGGTTGTCTCAACAGAGTTTTAACATTTCCAGCCTGAAAGATGGCAGCTGTTTGGAGATCAACACTGTTTTCTGCCAAGATGATCATCACTGGTATAGGTTCTTAGCTAATGTACATGTTCTGCATGCCTTAACTTTCTGTGTAGTTCTTATGACAATTTTCTATCAGTAAGAAAACTTTGACAGATGACAAGTGTAAATGTTTAATGATGGCATAAATTGAAATCTTCAATGCAATGTATTCATTCTGGCTACTGGCTTTAACATTTAATGTTGTATTAAATTTGGTGAAAATCTATGTTTGTACTCGCAATTAATTGCACATAATGTTCAGTGTGGAGAAGAATAGTACAGAGATGTTAATAATCCTGGCTCCTCTAGGGTACACAGGCTCTTGACTATGCCTCTATTATCAAATTCTTCAGTTCACATTTAGCCTCTGCGTGATTGATAAGTAAGTAGGGAAGATGGTAGTCCACTTTACAGCCCAGAACAAACCACCTCACCAAATCTTCTGACCATATCTTTCCCCTTCTCATTCTTTAGATCAAAGGGCCCTTTCAGCAAAGTTCGGACTGGCCCTGGTCGGGGTCGGAAGCGTAAGATCACTCTATCTAGCCAGTCAGCATCATCAGAAGGAGGATACCTGGAGCAGACAGACATCTTGGACTTCTGCAGAGATGGCAACACCACCTTGAAATTTAACAAGAAAACCAAAGGGCTTATAGATGGCCTTACTAAATTCTTCACTCCCTCCCCTGATGGACGAAAAGCTCGAGGGGAAGTGGTAGACTATTCTCAGCAGTATAGGATCAGGAAAAAGGGTACCAGGAAATCTAGCACTTCAGAATGGCCCACAGGTAAAGATTTTTCACCCTGCCGATGTAAGTATCCTGCACACAAAGAAAATGTTCAAAGGCTAGGATGTTGAAGTGACTAGAATTGTTAGAGGCTGGAAACTTTGAGCTGAAAGTTAACACTCAAATGCAGTTATCTCTGGTGTGTTGAGGTAGAATACCAGTTTGAAAGAGGAAGCGATCCTGGAAACCTTCACCTCTTTATATATAATGGCAAGGTGCGATGAGGGATTAAATGGTTACTGTGAGGTAAAATGCCCGTTGGTAAGGAGGGGCTTACACATAGCCGTAGGAAACATGCTAAATAATGTCACATTTGAAAGAAGTAATGTGGGGAGGGGTTAATGAAAATAAGAACAGCAAGGTGGAAGTATGAAATGGGAAACAGATTATTAAAACAAGTCTAACAGACCCATGAGTTTCTGATCTATGTTATAAGCTTGCATGCAAATGTTTCTTACTTTTCTTAGCCATAGAGGAGCCTGCTTCATGCAGTTTGGCATCTGCTTGCTGGAGAGCATCCCTTCTTTTGAATGCAGTTCTGCTTTCCTTGTGTTCTTTTCTAGCTTAAGACATGAATCTATGACCAGACCTTGATTTAATCTCTCTATTTTGATCTTTAGAGTCTTGTTGAATTGTTCCTAAGGAAGCAGTGGAAAATATTCCACAATAACATACAAGGTGTACAGCTTTAGAATAGTTACGTGCATTAGCTTGGCTGGTGCTGGAAGAACAATAATGTATCTTAATGCTTTGGGTGAAGTATCTTTTGCGGTTTTGTTTGCTTTTTTGTGGAAGGGGTGTTTCTTGGGTGATGAACCTAAGTGTCCTGGTTTTGGTTGCACCAGATAACAGCATTTAAATACTTGTGATCCTTGTTAGTGAGAAACCTATGTGGTAAGCCATTTATCCAAAACTGTCTCATTGCTACAAATTCCTTTATGATACTATGAATGTCTAAGTGGTGAAGTTTTGGACTTGGTGAAATATATGACCATACTTCTTATGTGGTCACAAATCCAGAACTGGTTCTTCCTTTGTGGTTCCAAATCTGAATAGAAAATCCCATTTAAAAAAAAAAAAAACAAACTTGGCACGGTGTCTGTATAGAGCCAGATTGTTTGTCACTGCACTAAAAAGCAAGTACTCCTTTGAAAAATGTAGGTGAAGACCATTTTCTCTCTCATTTACAGACAATCAGGATGGCTGGGATGGAAAACAGGAAAATGAGGACCGTTTTTTTGGGAGCCAGGATGTCTTAACTGAAAAAGACATGGAGTTGTTTAGAGATATTCAGGAACAAGCACTGCAGGTAAAGTTAAATCTTCAGCTTTCCTTTAGGCTTGTCAAATGTCTGTAATAATTGTTTGTTATTGATCTACTGTACTGGGCAATAATAGTGATTCCTTTGAAACTACTGTGCAGGAAGGGCTTAACCATAGATTATCGTAACTATCAAGAACTGCCTTCATAAATTTGATTTTTAGTGTCAGAAGGCACCGTCTGTGAGTTCAGGTAGGATGGACTGTGTAGATAAGAATGTTTTCATTTATTTCAGCTTAGAAGTCTTTCACTTGGAAATTAATGAAAACACTTTCTTTTCCCTTGCATAGAAAGTAGGAGTGACTGGGCCTCCTGATCCACAAGTCCGATGCCCTTCTGTCATCGAATTTGGCAAGTATGAAATCCAGACCTGGTATTCCTCCCCATATCCACAGGAATACTCAAGGTATGACTGAACATTCTCCTTTGTTCTGCTTCAGTGTTTGAGAAAGCTGAATTCCAGCAGGTGTAGAAATCTTGAGGAGATTCTACCTGAATGTAGGACATAAGCAATGTACATGTAATCCATATACTTTTCTTGATAGTTAATAGATGTCCTAAAGTCTTTTTAGGCTGAGTCAAAAAGTTGATAAGCTCTCTGCAACAACCTGCATATGCTGTGAGCTTTCAAACTGCCACAGGAATATATGATTAGATGGATTCCCAAAGAGCTGACATATTCCACTCTCTAAGGAGAGAGAGCATCCTCAGCTGAATGACTTGGTACTGGTCTGTTATTAAGCATGTAAGTGATTAGAGTATCTGACTCTGAGTGCACTTTACATATGGTATCACAGAATAATTTGGGTTGGAACGAACCTTTAAAGGCCATCCTGTCCCAGCTGTGGGCAGGGACATCTTTCACTAGATCAGGTTGCCACATCCCTGTCCAGCCTGACCTTCCTGTGATGGGGCATATTTTAGTGCTGTATGTAGTTTGACACAGCTAAAGAAGAAATGTTTAATGTTACGCATTTTGGTATCTGAAAGATTGTTCTACAGTGATGCATGTATAGTTGTTTTGATATTTTCTTGCTTAAGAAGTTTGCAAACTGTCTTAATTGCAACCTCTCTGAATTTTAACTTGATTCAGAAAGAGGAATAACTTCTAAGGGCCATAGCTGGAGAGATAAAATTAAATAAAATGCTTTATTCTACCATTTAATAAGAGTGTATGGTCTGTCATGAGGAATTATTCTAGTTTTGCTAAAGGCGTTGAAGGTAACTGAAAGTAGCATCCCTGCCCAAGCTAGAGTATGTAAATAGAGTTAAATCACAACAATATTGGGACACTTGCTTTCAAATTGTTCATGTCGCTGTAGTATGTAAAGTCATAGAATCATAGAATGGTTTGGATTGGAAAGGTCCTTAAAGATCATCAAGTTCCAACCCCCCTGCCACGGGCAGGGACACCCTCCACTAGACCAGGTTGCTCAAAGCCCCATCCAGCCTGGCCTTGGTTTTAAAACAAACAGACAGGTGGTATTGTGACCCATTGCTCAGGGGTACATATAGCTGTCTGTTACAAGGAGGGAAGGGAGAGAGTAGGAACTATTTATCTAATCCGTCCTAGCGTCACTAGTGCAAAATTGATGGTTTTTTGCTGTTTTTTCTAGGATTTTAATCGATGCATGTGTTTCTTCTGATGTAACTTAATAATATAAAAGTAATTATGCAGGACACTAAGTACATTTTTTAAATATGCATTTGTTACAGAATAAGTAAGTGCCATGGCGTCAGGTATGGTAAGGTGTTTTTGGCCTGATTAGCACATGCACAAGATCAGTATATACTGCGATTGTTTTTGTCAAACTCTCTGTTTGCAGGAGTGAGGAATTTTATGCAAAAGTCTATTATCTTCAGCCTTTGATCTGTCTTTATCTTTGCTTATAGGCTACCCAAGTTGTACCTTTGTGAATTCTGTCTGAAGTATATGAAAAGCAGAACTATTCTTCAACAGCATATGAAAAAATGTGGCTGGTTTCATCCTCCAGCCAATGAAATTTACAGAAAAAACAATATTTCAGTCTTTGAGGTAGGTTAGAAACCTAAGCCACTCACTTCTATCTATAAAATAGGGTCTTTAGCACCCAGTCGTGTGATAAGTTTTCCATAGCCCTAAAGATCTTCATTCTTGAAGCATTCAGTTCTTGAGAGTGGAGAACTACAAACAAGCAGTGAGAGCTGACCTCATGTATAGGTTATTCGTCCCTAAAATATGTGGGAAGGCTTGCTTTGTAGAAATGCTTTTTCATTTTAGGAAAATGAATTTTAACTTCTCTCTTAAGGTAATGAATGTAACACTGACTTGGTCATGGCCTTTATGCTGTCAAAGTTTAAGTCCTTTGAGGCAGAGAAGTCTTCTGCTTGTGTTAGACATTTCAAACGTACAGGGATACCCAGATGAAGCGTGTCCTTGCATGACAGCAGATGGAGTGACAAAACATTTCCCCTTTTCTGTAAGGTTGATGGCAATGTCAGCACCATCTACTGCCAGAATTTGTGCTTATTAGCCAAACTCTTCCTGGACCATAAGACTCTCTATTACGATGTGGAGCCGTTTCTTTTCTACGTGCTGACACAGAATGACGTCAAGGGCTGTCACCTTGTTGGCTACTTTTCCAAGGCGAGTATTTGGGTATTCCAGACTTGGAACTTTGTTTACTTTGGTGAGAAATGCTGCTTCAGAGTCTTTAAATTGTTGCAATCTAGACCCTTGCATTTTATGGGATACATCATGTAATATAGATATAGACATCGGTTTCAAACAGATTTTATTTATGTTGCATTTGGAGACTGCCAACTAATAAAGTTTCATCATAATGTTGAGTAGCATATATTCTTTAAGGAAACTGTAGGGCAGCTGCTAGCTAAAAAAACTCCCAACTCTTCAAATGACCTCTGACTCTTGGTGGTGATGGTTATGTATGTATGTTTGTAAGATAAATATTGTTACCAAGGAGTTCTATCTCATCTTTCCTTCTGTAAACACATTGTTTTCCAAACAAGTTTGTCAATTTCACACCTCATTTCAAACCTTTTCTTAGAGGTGCTAGTTGTTATCCAAGGAGCAGATCGCGCTGCTTTACTCTCTTTGTTTTTCTGAACTGCAGTGATGGTAATAGAGCTTAAATATTATTCTCTCTTGTAAAGTCTTTCCTTGTCTCATGTACATAGTTGTTCATAAGAAACTTTGACTGTGGCTTTCTGTCTTGGTTTTTGCTATAGAAGTAATTAGGGACTTGTACAGAACAACTTACAGTATTTCTCACTGGTCATCTTTCTTTTTATTTTTCCCATCAGGAGAAACACTGCCAACAGAAGTACAATGTTTCCTGTATAATGATTCTTCCACAGTACCAGCGTAAGGGCTATGGCAGGTTCCTAATTGACTTCAGTAAGGAAAATTTTCTTCACTTTTTTTGTCTTTGTCTTTTCATATTTTAAAGAAAGGCTTAACTGTGGAAGAGGATATTTGTCAAAATAAAAAATATCTCAGGACAAAGGATTCTAAAGCTCACAGAATCTTCTGAACTTTACAGTTTACTCTTACTCTTGGAAAGCTTGAATTCTAAGACAAATTGATCATTTTCCCCCTAATTCTCATGTTTTCTTTTGTTAGCAACTTACTGTGGAAACTATAGGCATGTGTCAGTATAGTGTTTTTAGCAGAAGCTTACCTTGTGCATGTAGTTCTTTCTACAGAAAGACAACCCTAAAACTGCACGGTCTGTTGAAACCTTCAGCAGCTTGATAAAGTGCATGAGTGTCTTAAGCAATAGGTAGTTGTAGTTACATTTTAATTTACTTCTGAGAATAACAAAAACAGACATACTTGGGCTCTGAATACTCAGTTCTCAAATTCGTAGATGGATCTCAGCAAGTTCATGGGGAAGCTTGTCCCTGTAACTATCTATCTTATTATGCGAAGTGCAATCTAATATAGCCCTCCCTGTGGACATGCTAATTTTGGAGTTAATGTCCAGAGAAAAAACCCTACTGGTATAATTATATTAGAATTATTTTGCTGGTAAGTATCCTTGTGTAGGTAAGTTGTTCTGAAAATACAGGTGAGACAAAGGAAGTCAATGTGTCTTGAGAGATCAATAAATGTAGGCTATGTTAGAGCAGCAGTGAGAAGGTGCATTTGTCAGCTGGCTTCGCTCTTCCCCCTTTGTTGTACTGGGGAGGATATAACCTCTTGGTCTTTATTGAACCTGTGCAGTGTATCACAGTCTTAAATTAAGTCTCTGCAGATAGAGTTTGGTACTCTCCAGTAGGACTCTGAACTTTGACAGCTGAGAATTTTCAAGAAAATTGTTTGCTGTGTTGGTTTTGAATGGCTAAAATATTTTTTTCCTCTGTCATCTTCAGAATTGCTATTGCAATTGGAAAATACTCAGCAGGCTCTACTTCAGGCTTAGTATGGTTTCTAGATAGGTAACTGCTGCCATCTCGTGGCATTGCCCATAGCCAGGGTCTGATGGCAATGTAGTTTAGAAATCTCATACTCTTACCATTGAATAACAGGAATTAGAACAAAAAAAAAAAAAGAAATTGACCAGACCACTCAGTGTATCCTTCAAAATTATGATCTCTATCTTCTAGGCAGCATTCTGGTGCTTTCTGGAGAAATGCCTTTGTAGAAGTTGAGGTGCAAACAGAAGCTATATATGCTAATTTTTTGAATGTTTTTCTTGTGTATTTTTAGGCTATTTGCTTTCAAAGCGTGAGGGTCAAGCAGGATCACCAGAGAAGCCTCTGTCAGACCTGGGGCGCCTCTCATATATGGCTTATTGGAAAAGTGTAATATTGGAGTGCCTTTATCATCAACGTGACAAGCAATTAAGCATCAAGAAATTGAGTAAACTGACTGGGATCTGCCCTCAAGATATCACTTCCACTCTACATCACCTTAGAATGCTTGACTTCCGTAGTGATCAGTGAGTACAGGACTCCTGTTGTATTTCCAAATAGTTCCAGGTGTATTTGAATTAAATTTAGTGGTGTCTAGAGACAATTCACATCTAATAAGCTTCATTTTATTCAAGACTTAAATGTCCAGATACTGTCTGTAGAGGTTTACGATGCTCATGTGCGATGCAAGAGTTGTTCAGTGCCAAAGCTGCATGAGATTTCCAGCTGTGGAGCTTTGCAGCTGTGAGAGAAGGCAATCTGGTCTCTTGGCCATGTTCTCTTGGGGTCCCTCAGCATAATCAGTCTAACATACTCGCAAAACAGACCAAAGAACAGCAACTTCGCTTCTCTAAAGGGAAATCTGTTCCTTTTTCCAGTCACTGAGCAGACAGTTGTTTCTCCCTTTTCTGTGTGTCTCGAAGATGCCATTAACTGTGTGGATTAGCATGGGATGCTTGGATAGTGGGATGGATCATTGGGAGAAATGAGGTGTGTGGATGTAGAATAGAGGTAGTCTGTTTGCCCAGCTGAGTGTCCAAATCACATGAAATACTGGGAATTATTCTTGATTCAGACCGTAGCACTTGGGGAGTGGGATTGTATTCGGTTGTGTTTTGTGTTAAATTTGGAACTTATTTGGAAAACTTGAAGTTATTTGAGAACAGTTTTATGCACTAATTTCACAGTATATATTAATCAGTGATATTACTCCCAGTCCCCCAAATAAAATCCACTCTGGCAATGGGACTGTAACTTTTTAAAGCAGTTCTTTTATTACTATTCAGTATCTTTCACCTTATGTTGCCTGTTCCCCAAATGGTATACCCCTTGCCCATTTAACACATAATAAAAGTGACACTCTGCAGCTGAATGTTACCCATGGAAGGATAGTGGCTTTGTCATTAACAAATGGAAAGAATTTAACAACGCTTTTCTCAGTTTTAAGATGCTTTCTCTGGCAGTCTGACAGTACTGTAAATTGTACAATTTCAGTGAGCCTTTATCCTTTCTGATTTTATTAATGGCAGCACTGATGGAGAGTACACAGATTTTTCTGTAATATCTTGTATCTCTTTCACATGACAACATGTACAGTATGTAGCCTGTTGTTGATCAGAGTATTATTACTGTCTAGATTTGTGATCATTCGTCGGGAGAAACTTATCCAGGAACATATGGCAAAGCTTAGAACTAATGTCCGACCTATAGATGTGGATGCAGAATGTCTGCGTTGGACACCTGTTATAGTTTCCAACTCAGTTGTCTCTGAAGATGAAGAAGAAGAGACAGAGGATGGGGAAAATGAAGAGCAGCAACAGCAGAAAGAAAAAGATCCAGAGACCAGTGTAAGAGTGAATCTGTTACTTCTGTATGGCATGTAGTTTACACTTGGTGCTTTTGCAGGCGATGCCAACAAGATTTCAAATGCCAAACTTGGACATTTGGCATAGCTGTAAAAAGCAATGCAGTCATGATTAGTCTGTGTGTCTTTATGGTTTCATATTAGAAACTAAAAGTAGGGAAAACATTGAGGCATAGCCTAGAGAAGGGTTAAAGACTGTCTCTGAAAATAGTAAAAAGGCTCTTTCTACAGTTAGTGATTTTTGCAGTGTGTGTTGGGGGCGGGAAGAGGGCAGTGTTAAAAAGAAAAACCAAACAAATAAACAAAAACCCCGCCTCCCCCTCTCAGGCAATCTGATCTCATCAAATTCTTGAAATGGATTTAGTTTTGAAGGACCCAGTATTTCTGTAAGTGACAAATAGCATAAATGGAAGTGAATCAACAAAACCTTGTTCAACATTTCTCACCAAAGGTTTTTTGCTGTGTAGTTTTTTTAGAACTACTGCTCACAGGGCAGGGAAGGTTTCTGAAAGCTAGGCTGCTGTTCTTGAAGGGTTGCCCTCTCATATCAGGCGATGAGCACTGTCTAGAATACTAAGAGGCAAATTATGCACCATTACTGTATCTACATTAAACTAATTGTGCATTTTAGTGGAAAAATAGCTTGAAGTTTGTCCTTTCTTGAAAATGATTCAAATACTGTGTTTGAATGTAGCACGATGATGTTTGCATTCCAGCAGGCCACTGGATGCCTGTTGCTGACTGAGGCCACTTGTCCAGAAGCCAATTGAGATACATTATCACCTGGGAGGAAAAGAGTAGCAGTTAGCACTATCAGAATCTTGTAAAGGTCAATTCTTTTGTTATTATCAGATTGTTAAAAGTCAACTTTTCTGACTTCTTGCTCAGAAGTTTTTGTGGAATCGAATTCAGGATTGACATGCATGCTTAAGTCAGAAGTGTGAAATCTATTTGTTTTTGTTTAAATCAGATGGTAAAATCAGTGTCTTGGGAGAAGAAAGAGCAAGATCCTTACTCACCTACAGAGAGTGAAAAAAAGCCAGACATTGTTGCTCCAGCCAATTCTGCACGGCCGACCAAGCACATTTTTCCCTTGGATAGTCTTCCTGCAAACAGTCAGCCATCACGAAGAGGTCGATGGAACCGCAAGGGCAAAAAGCTTCGGGAGCCCCTTTGTGAGAAGGAGCCAATACTGCCCATTGAGGACAAAACAGCAATTCCCAGTGGGCGATGCAGTGAATGTGAGGAGAAATCAGCAGCCTCACGAGGCCGGTGCAGTGACTGTGAGGAGAAGTCAGCGACCTTGCAAGGAAGATGTGGTGAATGTGAGGAGAAGTCTCCAGCCCCAAGAGGCCGGTATGCTGAAGATGAGGAAAAATCTGCAGTTTCGCAGGGACAGTATAGCAAAGGTGAAAAGTCTGCAATTCCCCGTCGGCGGTACAGTGAAGGTATGGAAAGGTGGAGAGGGCAGCTGAAAAAGAACACAGAGACACTGAAGTGTAGATTCCTGGAGGACTGCGACAGATTACCCCGCCACTACAGTGATAGTGATAGGGCACTTCTGAGGTGTTTTACTGAGAGTAGTGAAGAGGAAGATGATGAGCCTGTGAGTCCTCGATCAAGCTCTCCACCTGTTCTCACAAAGCCAACATTAAAACGAAAGGTGTGTGCCTTATTTCTTGTCTCTGACTATATTGTGCAGTCTATTTTGCCATTATTTTGCCATTGGTGCTTTCTGAAGGACTGTGCAACTCATGAGGTATATATTAAGCGTACAGGTAGCAGCTGCTCAGTGTTCCAGAACTCTGTCTGGAGGGTACTTTCTGCTGCCTTTTTGTAGTGGTGGTTTTTGTTGAGTCAGATTTTTCTACCTTGGTTATTAAAGTTCTATTCAGTCACGCAAAATAGAAACAGATGTGGTTCTACTTTTAAAAGAAGCTTGCAAAGCACAAGTGCTATTTAAACAAAAAATCACAGTATAAAGTATTTGAAATTATTTACCATGGAGATGTGATTTCACTCAGTGTGACCAAGAAAATCCTCTCTTAGTGGGATGCTGCGCTAAAAAGTTCTCTTTCTCATCTTTGCAGCTTATTCTAAACTGTTCACATCTATGTTGTAGAGTCTCTGAACTTTCAGCTTTTATGGATGGGCTGTTAGGTTCAGCTTTTTAAATGGTTTATACTGTTACACAAACGTCAATCCAGCAATCTTCATAGAGGTGAGTCGTTTTGCATTGTATTTGACATCTGTCTAATGGAAAGCAGGTGCCAATCAGTGTTTCTAGTGAAGTCTGGATTCCAGAAGGGAGCCCTCTGGTCCCGCTTAGACTGTTAAACTCTGCTGTTCATGTTTTCTATTTATCAGTGTTTTCTTTCCACTGCATGTGATAAAATGTTTTCTCCCACCTTCCCCTTTCAGAAACCAATTCTTCATCGAAAGAGGCGAGTCCGCAAGCGTAAGCACCACAACAGTAGTGTTGTCACTGAAACAATCTCGGAGACCACGGAAGTGCTGGATGAACCATTTGAGGACTCAGACTCTGAACGACCAATGCCCCGATTAGAGCCTACATTTGAGATTGAGGAGGAGGAGGAAGAGGAGGATGATGAAGAGGAGGAGAATGAACTTTTGCCCAGTGGATACTTTCGACACTTAGCCACACCGGACACACTCGGGCATAGACCCTCATCTAAGAGGAAGTCCAAAGATGAGGAGGAGTCTGATGACGCTAATGGTATGTTTGGTGGTATGCTGTTAAAAGTTTGATATAGATAGTGTGTCGGATGGTACTAGGTCATGACGGAACAAGCTGCTTACCTTGTCTTGTAACTTCTAGCCAAAATGTAGGGTTAGGCAAAAATTACCAGTCAAACCAGCCTCAAACATTCCCAAGTCTTACGAAAATGTGGTGCATGCTTTTAACTATATTATTAGCAATGACCTGATGTGTTCCTTTGATTCGGCTTTCCTAGTGGAACTGGTATCTGTGAATGTGGAAAAGCCTATCCAGCAGGGTCGCTTACAGAAGTAAAATAGAAATTAATTGGAGAGCCCTCAGTTTTCCGTGGCAAAGAGAAATAATAAATTGTCTCTTTTGAGATCCTGTTCTTCATCACATTGCATGTCCTGCCTCTCAGCTTCTCACATCTCCTTAAAGTTCTCTGATCCTTCAGTTCATAAAATTATTTCATTGGAACTGGTTACTTAGACTGCACTAAAAATTCAAAAGAAATATCTGTCATTCAGATGCACCATTAGTAATCTTCCTTATGGCTGCTATGTGTTCTGTTCTCTCGTTGGTCTACATAGTGCAAGACAGTCAGACAAATAAAAACAAAGAACTGGGTGAAAGAAGTATGGTGCCATTATCCCACCATAAAAAAATCGTTACTGGAACGAACTCATTAATGTACGGCTTTCAACTAGCCTGTGGTTAGCAGAAGATAATTTTTTGTTAAAAGTACTTAAATACTGAAAGCATCAGTATGATTATAGAATGTATTATTATAGCCATGTATGCTATCCATTTAGCATCAGTTACCCTTATCCTTACAGCAGCATATAACTAGGTAAATTTACTGCAAACACGTGTTGATGCAGCATTAGGTTTGCTTAGTGGGAATATATGCACAGTCAGCTTATACCACTGTTTTTTTTAATTCTGTTGTGATCACGTTACTCAAGATTACAATTTTTGTGGTTCTCCAGCACCATTAATAAGACTATAGTTGTCAGAAGATCTGTTAGATAAGTGGTTTTCAGTCTTTGTCATTTGTGCTCTTTTGAATGTTTTCTGGTGGAGGTGCAGATCCCTTTAGCAATTCCACACACATATATTGCTTTATAAAGGACATCAGTGATTTTTAACCATCATTTGCAAGCTACAAATAGTCCATAGAGTGCCCGGGGATCAAAAATAGTATTTGGAAAGCCACTGTTTTAACTCAGCACCTCACAACAATGATAAATTTCTTGCTCACCTCCTAAATACTTGACTTTCTTACTCTCCCCTTGTAATTTAGTGCTTTCTGTTCCCTTTTGCCACTTCTGTTGCTTTTATTTTTTTCCCCCCTGAATTTCTGCAAATTTGTCAGAACCTCTGAAGCTATCATGTAGTAAGCACTCTGTTTCAGGGTATTGCTGCTCCTGACATCAAATGGTATGTGTTGGCTGCTTATGCCTTTAATGCAGGTGCCTTTGCGTATACATAGTAAACCTGTAGTGATCTTACAGAAAATACGATGTGCTTTCAATTACCTAAACGTGTTAGCCCACTGGGATAATCAGTCGTCATAAACAGTTGACCTTTTTGATAAACAATCAGGCTGGGTGGAGGGGGGCCAGCACTGCCTTATAACAATTCAGACATATAGTATTGCAGTCATTAATACTTGCTCCAGATTTAGATTATTTTAATCATAACTTTGAGTTAGGAATGTTTGTAGGAAGCCTAGGCTTTTTGGAAGTTTTCCCATTACTACAGGAACCTGCTTGTAAGGTTGGTTGGTTTTTTTGGTTTTTTTTTAAGAAAAACCCCCACCACTTTCTGACTAAGGGTGGTTTGGTTTAGATTTTTTCCCTGAGAACTTAATCTTCAGCTGAGGCAATGCATTGAAAGTGTTTTATGATTTCCCTGAAGTGTAATATTGCAGTCTTTTAAATTTGGTATCTGATGAGAATTTGAATTGGCTCTGATTGCTGTCAGGGCCACACTGAGAATGGATAGTGTGCGATGGTGATTTGAGGCCAGCGTTTAATAAGCATAGGGCATTCTGGAAGGCAGAGTGTATTCTGTGGTGTAGAAAACAAATAAAGCTTGTCTGTCTATATTCTGCCAATTCTGTGCAACTTGATTAGTGTCAGGTGGGGGAATATGGAGCTCTGCAATAGGCTGGGCTGTATTGCTTTTCTTTTCCTAGTTCTACCTGTAAGTTTTACTGTGAATGTGAATACTGTAAGGATCTTCTGTTCAAGCTTGCGTGCACACTGACGTTCAACAAAGTGCAACTGAATGAGCACGTACATATGCTTCTCATTATCCTAAAAAATTATGCACATGAAATCTTGAGTGGTCATCAAATCCATATTCTTTTGCAAAGATGGTGTGAAGTGCGCATAGTCTTGTGCTGGGGAGCCCAGACCAGACACCTTTAACATTACATTACTGTAAGGGGAGCCTGCCATCATAAGATCATTTGCTTTTTTTTTTTTTTTTATTCCTAAAAATATTAAATCCATTACAGTACAGATAAAAGCAAAGGGTCTTTACCTGAGGTGTGTTAAATCTAATCCTCTGTAGTAGGTAGGAAAGGTGAAAAAAGGGGAAGAGAAAGCTAGTTCTTTTTTAGAGGTGGATTTTTTTTTTCAAGGGCTGAAGTGTTAATGCTTTAACAAATACTGTTAAAGTAATGTTTCTTTCCTCCTGACCAATGATATGCTGACTGTGGCAGATTCTTTATTTCCTTTATTCACATTCCAAATATTTGTTTTATTGATGACTTCAAGGAGTAGTTTAATTTTAAATTCAGTATTTGTTTTAAATTCATTTTTTTAAGATGCAGAATTTGTTCAGAATGCTTCTCATCAGCGATATTTATAGTAAATGCCTGTCTGAGCAAAGGGCAAGAGTAACTCAGCTGACCTATGATTAGGTTTTAAGAAACATTTTTGAACTACTAGGAGCACATTATTTAGTTTTACCTTCATTGCATAACTGTGGACTTAAAACAGCTCTTTTTGGGAAACTCATACCATGGAATCAGTAACATTTTTTAAGATGGTAGAAAGGGCAGAAATGTGAATAAATGTACTCTGAATATGGGGGGGAAATTGAACTTATATCCATGTAGTGGGATGACCAACCTAATTACAGGCACATCAATGTGACATTCATCCTGATTTAAATAGTAGGATAACTGGCGTATTATTCATTAGAAAGCCCAGGGAGGGCTGTTTGCTCCATACGAATGAACACTGGTATGTGAAAAATTTATTTGTTGGACAATTATAGTTTTACACGACTACAGCTTGGTTAATAAGGGTAGCCGATGTTACCTGCTTAGTCTTTTGAGAGGTATTTGACTTAATCAAAACAATTTGCTTAAGCTGAAATGTTACAGAATCAAGCTAATACATATTAAATAAATCCAGCTGGAAACAAGAAGTGATTAGGCAACTTTGTTATTGGTGGGTTGCAAGACAGTTGCGGATTAAGTAAATTCAGGATCTGAAGACAGAAATTGAGACCATAAAGTATAACTGTCAACTAATGTCAGTGATAAACTGTTGCAGTAGTTTACTAACAGTTGTATAAAATGTCACTGACTATCCTAATTGACAGGTTCAAAACAAAATTAATTCAGGGAATGCCTTACAGTATTCAGTAATTTCTCAGTAAATTATCACATTTCTTCCTGGCTGCATAAGCTCTTCCCCTATTCTAGTGTTTCGAAAGTTACTGAAATGTAAAACTTCCTGCATCAAATAAGAGTCAGGTGAGAGAGAAATTCAGCTTCCTTTTAATGATTTTTTTTTTTAGATTAAAAAAAAAAAAAGCCAAACTCAGTCATCTGTGTATTTATATTGGCATTTAAAAGCATAAGCCATGAAAAAAGTGGAAATATTTCCTTTCTTCAGCAGATGCACAAAATACAGATCTAAATGGAAACATGCTTTTATTACAACTTCATGTGTTCCCCTACACTGGAACATTTTCATTTGTGAACATACTGTATAAAAAAAAATTGTAAAGGGTGGTGGGTCTTTTCAGGACTTTCTCATATAGTCTAGTGTTTAATATGAATTGTGTATTAAAGTCTCAGAGCTTTGACCATGCAAACTCTCAAAAGCATTGGTGTTCTTTGAAAATGTAATGTGCAATGTGATTCCTAATAAGCAGACCTTGATCCTTCCTGTTGCCCTTCACAATAAATCTCTAAGCTAGTAGTGATACATAAAGTTGATAAACATGATGGGAATGCTTGGGAAAGCTTCCGTGAATGTTCAGGTCAAACAAAAATGTTTGAACAGTATCTTTCAATTTGTGTTTTCAGGTAACCCAACTTTGAAACCATTATCTATGCTGAGAAAATGTGAAGCAAAGGATTCTTCACTTGAGCCAGATACTTCTACACCCATGAAAAAGAAGAAGGGATGGCCAAAAGGGAAAAGCCGAAAACCAGTCCACTGGAAGAAAAGACCTGGTCGAAAACCAGGTTTTAAACTGAACCGCGAAAAGGTACCACCATTGGTTCAGGATGAAGGAGTTGATGCAGTGGTAGCTAATTCAAAACCAGGGCGTAAACCCAAAATTTCAGATAAAGAAGAAGGTGTTGAGGAGAAGGAAGAGCTGCCTCTTATTGAGGAAAGAAAAGAGGAAGATGTGAATATAGAAGCAGAAGAGGTAGGAGAGGGAGAAGAGGAAGATACAGTCAGCAGTGAAGTAAGAGTAGTTTCTCCTGTGGACAGCAACAGCAGTCCAGTGCCAGAAGTAAAAGAGCCTGAGATAGAAGAGGAGGTAGAGGAGAAGCCACGGGTTTTAGAAGAGCAAAGGCAATCAGAAGAAGAACAGCAAGAACTAGACGAACCTGAGCATGACCACGAGGAAGAAGACGAAGTTGCAGTAGTGACAAATCAAAATGAAGATCATGATGCTGATGACGAAGATGATGCTCATCTTGAGTCTGTGAAGAAAAAAGAATTGGAGGAGCAGCCTGTTAGAGAAGGGGTGAAGGAGGAGCCTCAGGTGCAAGAATGTTTTTTAGAAACAAGCGTACCAAGCAGTAGAGAAGATGCAAAAGAAAAAGATGAAGCAGAGGCAGATTCTGAGGAAGAGCAGGCTTCCAATGAGACATCAGTGGGCTCAGAGCACGCCCCTGGGTCTGAAGATGATCATGAAGAAGAGCAAAGTACTAAAGAAGGGTTAATTGAGTTAAAGGAAGAGGAAGAGATTCCTCATAGTGAACTAGATCTTGAAACTGTTCAAGCAGTCCAGTCCTTGACACAAGAGGAAAGTAATGAGCATGATGTAGCTTACCAGGACTGTGAAGAAACTCTTGCAGCTTGTCAGACTTTGCAGAGTTACACTCAGACTGAGGAGGATCCTCAGATATCAATGGTTGAAGATTGCCAGGCCTCAGAACACAACAGTCCAATATCCTCTGTTCAGTCCCACCCCAGCCAGTCTGTACGTTCTGTCAGCAGCCCTAATGTGCCTGCTCTGGAGAGCAGTTACACCCAGATAAGTCCTGAACAAGGATCCCTGTCCGCACCCTCTATGCAGAACATGGAGACCAGCCCCATGATGGATGTGCCTTCAGTATCGGACCACTCTCAGCAGGTGGTGGATAGTGGCTTCAGTGATCTTGGCAGCATTGAGAGCACTACAGAGAATTATGAAAATCCCAGCAGCTATGACTCCACTATGGGAGGCAGCATTTGTGGAAATAACTCTTCCCAGAGCAGCTGTTCATATGGAGGACTGTCCTCTTCTAGCAGCCTCACTCAGAACAGTTGTGTTGTCACTCAGCAAATGGCAAACATTGGCAGCAGTTGCAGCATGATGCAGCAAAACACTGTTCAGCCTGCAGCAAACTGCAACATCAAGTCACCTCAGAGCTGTGTAGTAGAAAGGCCTCCAAGTAACCAGCAACCAGCAACGCAGCCACAGCAGCAGCAGCCTCCGTCGCAGCAGCCACAGCCCCCACCTCCACCCCAGCAGCAACCTCCACTGTCTCAGTGTAGCATGAACAACAGCTTCACCCCAGCACCGATGATCATGGAAATACCCGAATCGGGCAGCACTGGTAACATCAGTATCTACGAGAGAATTCCAGGGGATTTTGGTGCTGGGAGCTACTCGCAACCATCAGCCACGTTCAGTTTAGCCAAGTTGCAGCAGCTGACGAACACCATTATGGACCCTCATGCCATGCCTTATAGCCATTCTCCTGCTGTGACTTCCTATGCAACCAGCGTCTCTCTGTCCAACACAGGGTTGGCTCAGCTCGCTCCCTCTCACCCGTTAGCAGGCACACCGCAAGCACAAGCCACTATGACACCCCCACCAAACCTGGCGTCCACCACCATGAACCTCACGTCGCCTCTACTTCAGTGTAATATGTCTGCTACTAATATCGGTATTCCGCATACGCAGAGGCTGCAGGGGCAGATGCCAGTCAAGGGGCACATTTCCATCCGCTCCAAGTCAGCACCACTGCCCTCTGCAACTGCACACCAGCAGCAGCTCTACGGCCGCAGCCCACCCGCAGTTGCCATGCAGGCTGGTCCTCGTACGTTAGCTGTTCAGCGGGGGATGAACATGGGGGTCAACCTGATGCCAACCACCCCCTACAACGTTAACTCCATGAATATGAACACCCTGAACGCCATGAACAGCTACAGAATGACACAGCCCATGATGAACAGCAGTTACCATAGTAACCCTGCCTACATGAACCAGACAGCACAGTATCCTATGCAGATGCAGATGGGAATGATGGGGAGCCAGGCCTATACCCAGCAGCCTATGCAGCCAAATCCTCATGGAAACATGATGTACACTGGCCCCTCCCATCACAGCTACATGAACGCTGCTGGGGTGCCCAAGCAGTCTCTCAATGGACCATACATGAGAAGATGAGCAAGATGAACTTGCATCCTAAAAACTGAAATATATATAAATAAAGGAACCTTTTATACTGACGAACCAGAGAAAATGGACCTTTTTCCAGTTAAAATATTGCTGTAGATTTAGAGGGATTTTCTTTGGTTTATTTTATTTTTTAGGAAGCCTGGTCTTTATTTTTTGATTTTTTTTTTGTGTTTTTGTTTTCTTCACAATCCTGAAACATTTTACAGTTAAAATCATATACAGATGTTTTTTAGAGGGGAAAACATGCACAAAATCTTTTCATAATTTAAAAAGAGCCTTACTTTGCTGACAATGTGGGCAGAATATGTGTAATGGTGAAATCATCTTTCTAAATTTTTTTTTTCAAATGTATGTCCTTCTCCCTCCCCTGTGCCCCTCTGTATGCAGTTTCTAGTGCTGCAGTCATGTAAAATGTTTGACATCTCAAAGAATAACAACCCTTCCCTCTAAACCCCACCTAGCATTTCCTACTTCTAGCAGGAGGCACTTCCTGGGAGACTTGAAAGGGGACACAGAGGATAAATGAAGCTCTTTATTTCTGCAAGTCAGGAAAAATTTTTAATCTTTCATTTTCCCTGACTCCCTCGACCTCAGTAAAATTTGGAATTACGTGTAGACAATAAACTATTCACATTGGTGTTTTTGTAGATGAGTTAATTGAAATTGTATGTTTCATGCTGAAAATACAATGTAGCTTTAAAATTATCCCATTCACCACCCAGACATGCATGTGCACACACATGTGCATGCATGCGTACATGTTCTGTCATGCTGAACTACTGAAAGCATATCAAGAGAGAACTGTTTGTATATCCCTTTTGCAGTCATGAGGAGGATAGGGTGGTTAATGGACTGTTAGGACAAGAAAAGGGTGTAGGCTCTTCTGGTGAACTGCGAGTCAGCCACAGCTCTTGAGATCCCAAACTCTGCTTTAGTGTGTACTTCAAAATGCTGAGGGTCTTGGTTCTGAGCCTTTGAGTCAGGCTGAGCTCAAAAGCAGCTGTTGCCAGTGGTCTGCCTCTTAATCTCTTTACTTAAGTAGTCTTGGAAGATAAAGTGGATGGTTTTAAGTGACTTGATGAGAACCCTGTGGTGTCCTTCTTGCTCTTCCATTCCTGATACAGGGTAGGAAGTTGCTGAATGTGCCGCTCTCTGGGGGAGTCAGTGGTGTTTTCCCCAATTCTTCCACTATGTTTGAGACCCATTTTATAGGAATAGCCACACTTCTGATCTGGTGTGGGAAAAGAAGGGAATCGGCCTGTTTTACAGGAGTGAGACAGTCCAAACACCATAGTAGGATGCAGGCGGCTGGATTTTGCTGTTTATTACCGCATAATCCCATTTACATTATTTTTGGCTACACTGCAGCATGTCACCCAGTACAAAAAGGGACACCCTTTAATGTAAAGGTCTTTTTTTTATTGTATATGAAGTAGAAATACAGACACATTAATAGGACTAATTTCTTTTGTTTTTAAACCAAAAGAGTGTAAAAGAAAGTTGGGGTTTCTTCAGATGCACTAAAATGGACTTTCCTCCAATAACTGCTAACCATAAAAGGCAGAATTCAAAGGACTTCCACTTTTTATTTGTGTTTAGTTTTGAGCATGTACAAGGCTGTGTAGGACCCCATTTCTCTGTATATACTATTCCAGTTCCAAATAACCCGTGTAGAAAGC